AGTTACCTTCTTTGAAATCCCTCCTGGCCACCAGGTGACACTGTTCCCTAAACCTAAAAGAGGCAACGTGTACTAGGCTCCAAGGTGGAGCATGGACCTAGGAACCCTTCCGGGGCTTGCCAGGCAGGGTACATGCTGGGGTTGCGGGCTCCATCCCCACTGGGGGGGGGGGGGGGCGCCTGCAGGAGGCAGCTGATTGATGTTTCTCTCCATCCCTCTCCCTTCCTCTCTCTGAAATCAATAAAAACGTATTTAAAAAAAAAAAAAATATATATATATATATATATATATATATATATATATATATATATATATATATATATATAATTGATTTTTTACAGAGAGGAAGGGAGATAGAGAGCCAGAAACATCGATGAGAGAGAAACATTGACCAGCCGCCTCCCGCAACACCCCCCACCGGAGATGTGCCCGCAGCCAACGTACATGCCCTTGACCGGGATCAAACCCGGGACCCTTCAGTCCGCAGACCAATGCTCTACCACTGAGCCAAACTGGTTTCGGCTAAAAACGTATTTTTTTAAAATCAGCATTGGCTCAGTGGTTAGAGCGTCGACCCTCGCACTGAAGAGTCATGGTTTTGATTCCAGGTCAAGGGCACATACCTGAGTTGCAGGTTTGATCCCAGGCCCAGATCCGGGCACATGTGGGAGGCAACCAATCAACATGCCTCTCTCACATAGACGTTTCTCTCTCTCCTCTCTCTCCCCTCCCAACCTCCTTTCTACTCTCAATGGGGGGGGGGAATATCCTGAGATGAGGCCTAAAAATAATAATAATAAATTAAAAACCACAGATATCTTTTTAAAAATATATATATTATTGATTTTTTACAGAGAGGAAGGGAGAGGGACAGAGAGCTAGAAAGATTGATGAGAGAGAAACATCAACCAGCTGCCTCCTGCACACCCCATACCGGGGATGTGCCCGCAACCAAGGTACATGTCCTTGACTGGAATCGAACCCGGGACCTTTCAGTCCGCAGGCCGATGCTCTATCCACTGAGCTAAACCGGTTTCGGTAGCAGAGATATCTTGCTATAAAAATGCCCCCTAAGGAACGAGGGATCCCAGCACCACATCAGAATTCCCAGCAAAGCATTCCAGTGCTGGGAAGAGAAGTTCCCAGAACTTCTAAGAACCAGTGGGGATTGTGGCTAAGACAGAGGGCTCCAGAGTTCCAGGCATTCTTCTTCTTTTTAAAGAATGAATATATTTTTATTGATTTTAGGGAGGGAGAGGGAGAGAGAGAGAAGCATCAATAATGAGAGGGAATTATTGATTGGCTTCCTCCTGCATGTCCCTCTCACTGGAGACAGAGCCTGCAACTAGGGCATGTGCCCTGATGGGGAATCGGGAATTGAACCATGACCTCTTGGTTCATAGGTCTGATGCTCAACCACTGAGCCACTCAGGCTGGGTCCAGGTGTTCCTCTTAAAAGGGCTGGCACATGGACCTACTTGAACTCCCTCCCTCTGAGCTCCAATGCTGGGACAGCAGCTCAAAAGAGCCAAGGTCACAAGGGGAAGAACTGAATTGTCTGGCTTCAAGGCAAAGGCTGAGGGCAGCTTTCTCCCGGACAGACGTGTTGGCAGAGACCATTGCTCTTTGCTCAGCCCTCCCCACGGACCCAACAGGCAAGCCATACCTGAGACTCTATCAACTTGGCTTACACTGATAGCCACACCCTGATGATTCTCTGAGACCCTGTCCCACCAATTTCCATTGGCTTTTCCGTGCAAATGGCCTCTCTTACCTCATATTATACAACAACCCTGTTTAAGGCTCTCTGTCTTTAGAGAATACATATATATGTGGCTGATACCCCCCCACACCCCTGTTTTAGAAAAACAGTTCAAGATGCTTTTACTTCTGCCCCCCACAACCATCATTATAGTGCCCATGAACTTTGGATTTTGTGCGTCTCTGCAGGTGCCATCTGAAAAAACGAAATGCCTTTCACAAGCTTTTATCTTTCCAGTAGATGCCTGAAACCATGGATTGTACCAAACCCTATATATTCAGTACTGTTTTTTCCTATATGTACACATACCTATAATAAAATGTACCAATTAGGCACAGTCAAAAATTAATAATGAACTAGAACAATTATAACAATACTAGAGGCCTGGCACACGAAATTTGTGCTCGGGTACCGTCCCTAGGCCTGGCCTGCAATCAGGGCCATCTTCCCCAGCTGCCCGCAGCTGCCCATCCCCCGCTATCACCCACCCCGGTTCCCTGATCACCATCAGGTGATCGGAGCCTGACGGCTGGGGGAAGGGAGCAAGTCGTCGGCTGTTCCCACCCACTCACCTGCCCTGTCCCCTCCAGATTGCCCTCTGTGTGTGGGGTGATTGGTGGGGTGGGGGCCTTGGCCTGGTGCCACCTGCATCCCCCGCCAACCACCCCATCCCCCGCCACCCACCATATTCCCCATTTGCCATGGGTGATCAGAGCCTGTCTGCCAGGAAAAGGAACCCAGCGGTGGTCAGTGCACCTCATAGTGACTGATCAAGCTGTTGTTCTGGTCCTTCTGCTGTTAGGTCAATTTGCATGTTGCCCTTTTATTATATAGGATAGGGGCTCAGTGTGCCAGTGGGGGCCGGCCAGCCTGCCCTGATGGGGGCCCTGGATAGGGGTGGGGGTCCCCACTGGGAGGCTGGGGCCACAGTCGTTCTGGTCTCTGGTTGTTCCATCGTTCCGGTCATTGGGCTTGTATTGGGTCTAGTAATAATTAATGTCGTTTTAAAACATTTGTTTAAAATCTTGCTTGGCGTTGACTTGTATTGACATAACCTTCAAACACGTGGTATCTACAGAACGTGTGAAGTGCAATTAACAAGTTTTGCTTGAAAAAGTTTGTGTTTGGTTTGGTTTTTGTTGCAAAACTAGGGCTAAGAAGATGGCGGATGAAGAGCATATTCGGCACTGCATGCTTTACGAGTTCCAATTAGGAAGAAAAGCAAGTGAGGCTGCAAAAAATATCTGTAGTGCTCTTGGTCAAGATGCAGTTAGCGCCAGAAAATGCCAGCGTTGGTTTGAGAAATTTTGCGAGGGAAATTTTTCGTTAGATGACAAGAGTGGTCGAGGCCGTGTGTCCAATTTTGATCAAGAAGCTCTTCAAGCTCTTTTGGTGCAAAATCCTCAAATTACCCAACAAGAGCTTGCGACAACTTTAAATTGTTCACAAAAAACAATTTCCAATCAATTGCGTGCACTTGGCAAAGTCCAAAAGTTTGGAAAATGGGTTCCTCATGAGTTGACCGACAACAACCGTAATCAAAGAGTCACAATTTGCAGTTCGCTCCTCTCTCGTCAAAACCGTTTGCCGTTTTAGAGCAAATTGTTACCGGAGATGAAAAATGGGTGCTGTATGTTCATTTGAAAAGGCGACCTCAATGGTTGGACAAAAATGAGGCTCCGCAGCCCACGCCAAAACCTGACTTGCATGCAAAAAAAGTGATGTTGTGTGTTTGGTGGAATTTTAAAGGAATTCTTCATTATGAACTTTTACCATCTAACCAAACCATTACAAGTGCAGTGTATAGTGCCCAATTGGAAAGGTTAGCCCAAGCTTTAAGAGAAAAAGAACCTGCGCTGATTAATCGGAAGGGCGTAATTCTTCACCACGATAACGCACGACCGCATACTGCAAGAATCACTGCTGAAAAACTGCGCCAGTTGGAATGGGAAGTTCTCCCTCAACCTGCATATTCTCCTGATATTGCCCCTTCCGATTACCATTTGTTTCGTTCTTTGCAAAACTTTCTTCTTGGAAAAAAATTTAATAATGAAGAATGCCTCAAAAATGCATTGACCGAATTTTTTGCATCAAAATGACAAGAATTTTACAACAGAGGGATTAAAATGCTTCCTGAGCGTTGGGCACAAGTAGTAGAAAACAACGGCAACTATATTGTTGATTAAATTTTGTTGTATTGTTTAAATAAATTCGATTTTTAAAAAAGGTATTAGAAAACGACATTAATTATTACTAGACCTTTTATATAGGGTACCATAACAAAAGTTACGTGAACGCACTGCTCTCTTTCTCAGAATACCTTATCGGACTGAACTCACCCTTCCTGTGAAGATGTGAGATCACAATGTCTATGTGATGAGATGAAGTGAGGTACTCAATAGCATGCCATTTAAGCATTGAGTTGTTCATTTCCGGGATTTTTCATTTAGTATTTTCTGACCACTGTTGATCACAGATAACTGAAACTGCAGATAAGGGGATACTACTGTACCAATGTCCCAACAGCAATTCAAAAACAAGTCTTGAGCACACGTTCGGGAATGTGTACTGGTAAGAATTAAGCAGTTATTCCTTAAGGAGCTTGAGTGGGCAGGTTCCCAAAGCTCAGGTAAGGTCAGTTAGGGCCCAAGGTGTCTACGGGACTCTTAGCAATATGGAATCTGTCCTTAGAACAAGAACACAAGGCCAAATCTAGGCCAGCAACGGAAAGCTGGGCAAGCACTTCTCACATTTCTCCTGCTTAAGGTTAAGACTGTCCTTACAAATAAGATCAGGGTTAAGCCTATACACTGGATACAGTTCAGGGGGAAAGGGGTAGACCCAGCAGTGAAGAAAACAGGGTTGCAAAGGTTGAGAATCCAATAGGACCTGACAAGGAAGCCAAGATGTTTGCTTTGTTACAAGAAGACTCCTAGGTGCTCTGGAAAACCCAATACGCGTTGCATTAATAGGATTTTTAAAAATATATATATTTGATTTTTTACAGAGAGGAGGAGAGAGGGATAGAGAGTTAGAAACATCGATGAGAGAGAATCATCAATCAGCTGCCTCTTGCACACCACCTACTGGGGATGTGCCCGCAACCAAGGTACATGCCCTTGACCGGAATCAAACCCGGGACCTTTCAGTTCGCAGGCTGACGCTCTATCCACTGAGTCACACCGGTTTCAGCTTGAATAGGATTTTTATTAACAGCATCTCACCTTTGATTGTAATGTTACATTTTGCTGTTGACAGATTTTTTTCCATCGAGATGCTTATGGAAGAAAGTTTGAATTTGCTGCCAGGCATCTACCTGTGCCCTTGAATGCACCTTTGGCTCGCCTCCGTAGTATATAGCTAGGCCCAATACTGCATGCACAGAGGCTGTGCTCGGAGGGAAATAAGGTGGGTCGATGCAGTGGCCAGTTCCTGGGTAGTGGATTATCTGGGGTCTGTCCTTCCCGTGGGCTTGTAACCGTTCAGAGGCTATATCAGCATAGTGGTCACTCCTCCAGCTGTAATCATCCATGCCAACAATAAACAGGAAGGGTCCCTGGGCCTTTTCCAACGGAATAAGACTCTGGCGGTAGGGTTTTTCCAGTGGATCATTCCAAATATTCATGAAATTTAAAAGGCCCGACTCGGTGGTTGTATGTTTCCCTAGGTCACTGCTGAGGCCGGGAATAACCATATCCTTGTAATGCAGAGGAGCTATGGTGTTGGCCACACAGGAATTGATAACCACCGTGGCTGTGATGCCCTTCAAGAAAGAGGCCATTGAGAGACACAAGTCACCTCCTTTGGAGAATCCAAGAAGCCCAACACTAGGGCCTTTCACCTGATGAGGAGAGAGAGAGCATAAGCTTAGAATTCATAACTAGAGGACATAAACAGTGACTTTATATTCTCTAGGCAGTTTTCTCAAATGTCATTTGCTTTCCTACCTTATGCAACAACCTACTGCAGTGTCCAAAAGTGTCTTCTAATAAGCAGATTAATTGATTTCCTAGTACACAGGCCTTCCACTAATATTTATGGGGTCTGGGTTAGGAATATACACAAAGAGCCATACACGCTATACCTAAATATTTAAAAGTTAGTAGATATCAAATGAACAAACTATTAAATAAAATATATTCTTTTCTCCTACCTTGATAATATGCCTCCATAACAATTTTCAAGGTTCGAATTTAAAAATCTTAGGACTCGGAGGTGGCACTAGTCCATGCAAGGGCTTTCCCAACCTTATTCCCCCCACAAACCCTTCCAGTTTTCTCCAGAGGAAGGGCTTTTCAGACGGATTTTCATTGTAAAAATAAATGCACTTTGTGCCACTTCCTGAAGGGGGCGCCGTTGCAGACTCACCCCCCCAAAAAAATAAAAAAATCAAAAAAATCTTAGAACTCATTTTTATATTGGAACATGACATAGGGGAGAGCCAGGCCTGGCCCCAATCCCTGGTCCCTGGCCCACCACTCTTCTCTTCCACCCCTAGCTCTCTCATGCAACTTGAGGGGCCTTTCACACGTGTGTGAACAACCCAACCAATATGTTTAAAGCTCTATCAGTGGATAGAGCGTCAGCCTGCAGACTGAAGGGTCACAGGTTCTATTTTAGTCAAGGGCACATACCTTGGTTGCAAGCTCGATCTCTGGCCCTGGTTGGAGGGAATACAGGAGGCAACCAGTCCATGTGTCTCTTTCACATTGATGTTTCTCTCTCTGTCTTTCCCCCTCCCTTCCACTCTCTCTAAAAATCAATGAAAACTATCCTCGGGTGAGGATTAATAAAATGAAAACAATTTAAAGCCTGGTTGGTGTGGTTCAGTGACTGAGCACTGACCTATGAACCAGGAGGTCACAGTTCAATTTCCAGTCAGGGCACATGCCCTGGTTGTGGGCTCTATCCCCAGTGTGGGGCCAGGCAAGCAGAAGGCAGCCATTCAATGGTTTTCTCTCATCATTGATGTTTCTATCTCCCGCTCCCTTACAAGGGGGGGGCGGGGCGCGCCGGGGGGGAGGGGGGGAAGGGAAGAAGACCCCAAGGAGAGGCATTGGGCCTGGAAGCAGGAACAATGCTGTTTGGCAGATAATTATGGGGTTCAAGATCCCAAAGGCATAGTGAGCGAGGGGCCACATAGGATCCTGGTGAACACATTCCCTTGGTCCCTTGGAGTTCTTACCCTGTGGGCAGAGCAGCAGCCAAAGAAAGGCCAGAGTGTGGTCATCTAACACAAAGGGTTCAAGGAAGAAGCCCCTTTTGCCTATGTTTGAGGGCAGAACTAATAGTACATAGTGTTCCCTTCTTTTTTCTGGGGCCTTATGTCCCCTAAGTAAACCAGTCATCACAGTTCAAGATCATCTAGGTTTTAGCCGCTCTGCTAAAAGACCAGCCCATGGATTTTAGCAGTTAAATCATCCTGCAGACCTTGTGGAACATCTTATTCCTTAACATAAAAATGTGTGGGTCTCTAAGTTTAGATAGTAGCAAAGAGTATGTATTCCATTCATTATCACTACCAACATATTTTAATTCATTTTTTCCACTACCAGATAAGAACTTTCTCTACAAAATCCTAATACCATGATCACACTTAACAAAATAAATGATTCCTTAATATCATCAAATACACAGTCCCCATTTAAATGTCATCAATTGTCTCAAAGATGTCTCTCTAGTCAAACTTTTTCCTCTACACATTTACATTAATCTTAGACACGAGAAAAACTGAATCCCAGAGAGGGCAATTGCCTTATTCAGGATCATAAGGTTACTTGGTAGTAACCTTGGTAGAACTCAAGGTTAGTCACTTTTTAGTCCAGTTCTTTGAATTGTGGTCAGGAATTAAAGGGAACGCCCAGGTGAGGGTGGGGTGGGAAGGAGGATCAGTTGATTGGAGCATTGTCTCATACACCAAAAAGGTTGCAGGTTCCATTCCTGGTCTGGGCACATAACCAGTTTGCAGGTTTGATCCCTGATCTGTGAGTGTACAGGAGGCAACTGATGTTTGTTTCTCTCTCACATGAATGTTTCCCTCTCTCCCTTTCTCTCTCTAAAATCAATAAATACATCCGTGGGAGAGAATTTTTTAAAAAAAGAATTAAAGGAAACTAGACAATCAGCTTTTAAGGAATTAGAGAGAGATGGGTAGACATTGAAATAATAATCCTTTTAATAAAACTTTTGAAGGAGCCTTTGTGTCTCATGCCATACTTGGGGCCTTTGGATCCAGCCCCGAGTCCGTTCTGCCTCTCCCCTGCACACACAGGAGCACCAGCACCCACCTTTGGATGCTGCAGCATGAAGTCCACGGCTTCTTCAAAGTACTCCAAGTGCACAACATCCAGACTTTCAGGGAGGTCCTCAAATCTGAAATAAGCCAGAGCAAGCACAGCAAAGCCATGTCCCGCCAGGAGGCTGGCCCTGTATTCACAAAGGCCACCACCACTTCCAAACAGATCAATGACCCCGGGGAAGGGCCCTCCACCTAGAAGGTACCACAAACCGAGAGGAGCTTTAGAGTCTCAAATGTCATCCTTGGGTTTCAGATTTTGGCAATCAGGAAAGAGACGTTTTTGAAACAAGGAAAGTTGAGACTGTGGGGGAGGTTGGTGGAAGAAGGATCCTTTTTTAGTCTAACTTCAATATATTCTATTGAATATAAATAGCTGGTCCTTGACACCTGAGGACATGCCTGAGTGCCAAGGCCTCAGGAAGTGCCATTGAACTTGGAAGGAAAACTTCCACCCAGAATCCACACTAGACTCTGGAGCGCGGGGGACCAATTTTGGTTAAGGGCCACAATCACGTGGTTCCCAGGCCAGGCCAGAGGCCGGCAAGGTCTCGCACTCCACCCACCTCCAGCCCGGAACAGCCCAGGACAGACAGGCAGCCGCGGAAGCTGGGGGCTCACCTGGCGGCAGGAAGAGCGCGCCGCGCACCCGGCCCGCGCGCACCGGCTCCCGCCGCACCCCGGGCGCCAGGAAGTGGCGCTCGTGCACCGTCCGGCCCAGCAGCCGCCCGCCCTCGGGCTCGTGGCCGTCGAGCACCTCCAGCTCCACGGCGAAGGGCGTCTCCACGTCCCGCTTCACCAGCCGGCCCCACGGCTTCTCCGCCTCCAGGGCCCAGAAGAGCCCCATGGGCTCCAGCCCCGCGAAGCTGCCGCCCAGCGCGGGCGCGCGCGCCAGGTCCAGCTCGCCGCCGGCGCCGGCGCGGTAGCGCGCGTGGGCCCGGAAGCGCGCGCCCTTCTCGTCGCGCAGGGACGCCCGCAGCGTGACCGGCTGCCCCGGCGCCAGGCCGCGCACCACGACGCGCACGGGCTCGTCCCAGCAGCTGCGGCCCGCGGGCTCCACCGTCACGGCTGCAGCCATCTCGGCCTCGGAGGGAAAGGGGCCGCCTGGGTCCGTGGAGTCGAGGGCGGGGCCTGGCGTCCCTTCGCCTCCCCGGGGACCAGCCGCTATTGGGCCCTTTGCGCTCACTCAGTGCGCGCCCCTGGGCCGCCTGGTGGACACCCTCCCAGCGGCTGTGCGGAGTCTTCCAGAATCTGTGCACATTCCCCAGGGCCTGAATAGGATAAAGTATCTGCCAAGAGTTAATTACTAACCCTGCAATCCGACGTGGTGAGTGTTGCAACAGAGGTACAAAGACTGCGGAAAGTTACAGATTGGGAAAGAGTCCGGGCTTTTAAAACAACTTCTCGGACGTGTGCGAGTTGACCCTTGGACCAGGGGCGGGGTGCGGTTAGGGAAGTCAGCCTCCGGCACGGTCTAAATCTGTGTTAATTGGTAATTAAGGGGATCAGTGGAGAAGCAGAATCCTAATCCCTCCCTTCTTCCTCCTTCCTAGACCAAGCCTTTCCCCTAGCGCCCAGGGTCCCTAAAGCGGGATGTTCATGGGGTGAGTTTTGACCCTGCTCCTTTTAATAGTGTGGGGGTTCTCATCTAGCTACATAATTAAGCCTGAGAATCCAGTTTCCTTATCTGTAAAAGTTTTATTATTATTATTATTTTTTGTGTGTGTGACGATCACAGTTCTGATTAATACAGGATTGAGTTGTATCAGGTTACTGGCAGGAAAAAAGTGGCACTTCCAAACTGGGTAATTTGAGGAGTGTTTCATAAAGGGACTGTTTGCAAAGAAATGCGCAAGGTTAAAAAAAAAAAAAAAAAAAAAAAAAAAAAAAAAAAAAAAAAAAAGGTCTGAAGGCTCATAGAGGGAGGCAGGCACCCATGGTGAGGGGGCAGGAGTGATGAGAAAGAGAACTTTGCCCTCATTCTCCTCTTGCCCTTGGATATCTTATGAGTTTTCCAAACAGCCTCTTGCTCTCTCTGGCTGAACCTACCATACAGCTCTGCCTTGGGTATGAAGCAGGGTGGAGAACAGTAGGTGGAGCCATGGAAGATGTCCAGCAAATGGAGGCTCAATAAATTCTACAAACTGAACAAAAAGATATCAGATGAGGGCCCCAATCTCCGAGTTCCGAGCGAGAGCTTTCCCCAGTCCACCTCCTTAAGTAATTGCTGTAACATTTTTTTTTTTCATTTAAATTCTTCATTGTTGAAAGTATTACACATGTCCCCTTTTCCCCCCCATTGACCTCTTCCCGGCGCTCCCTGAAACAGGTTTTAAACACCTGTTGTTTAAAGTGTTTCAGGCTAGCCGAAACCGGTTTGGCTCCGTGGATAGAGCCTCAGTCTGCGGATTGAAAGGTCCCAGGTTCGAATCCGGTCAAGGGCATGTACCTTGGTTGCGGGCACATCCCCAGTGTAGGGTGTGCAGGAGGCAGCTGGTTGATGTCTCTCTGTCATCGATGTTTCTAGCTCTCTCCTTTCCCATCCTCTCTGTAAAAAATCAATATATTTAAAAAAAAAAAATAAAGTGTTTCAGGCTGGCCCTAGGTGGTTTGGCTCCATGATAGAGCATCAAACTGAGGAGTGGAAGGTTCCAGCTTCAATTCCTGTCACATTTCCGGCTTAGTCCCCGTGCAGGAGGAGCCCATCAATGATTCTCATCATTGATATTCCTGTCTCTCTCCCTCTCCCTACCTCTGAAATATATATATATATATATATTAAAAATAAAAAGTGTTTCAGGCTGTCCTCAATATAGAAACACAGCTTCCAAAACTTTATGTGGGCCACTGCAGCCACCAGCACAATAACTGTAGATAACATGATAATATATGTATATATAAATATACATATACATATATATATCCCTAAAGATTCCACCAAAAAGCTATTAAAACTGATAATTCAGTAAAGTATCAGGAGGCATAATAAATACCCAGATGCATTAAATATATTAAATATATTAAAAAATATATTTAATTGATTTTTTACAGAGAGGAAGGGAAAGAGCGATAGAGAGCTAGAAACGTCGACGAGAGAGAAACATCGACCAGCTGCCTCTTGCACACCCCCTCCCAGGGATGTGCCCGCAACCAACGTACATGCCCTTGACCGGAATCGAACCTGGGACCTTTCAGTCCGCAGACCGACGCTCTATCCACTGAGCCAAACCAGTTTCGGCCCAGATGCATTTTTATATATCAATAATGAACTATCAGAAAAAAATGCAATGAGATGCATTTTTTTATTGATTGATTTTAGAAGAAGTGAGGGGGGAAGATTTGTTGTTTCACATTTTTATGCATTTATTAGTTGCTTCTTTTATGTTCCTTGGTTAAGGGTTGATCCCGAGGCATTGGCATACCACAGTGATATTCTAATCAACTGAGATACCCAGTCAGGGACTTAGAATAAATGTAACCAATGATATAAAAGACCTGTACTAGGGAAATTATAAGACACTGAAGAAAGAAATTGAAAAAGATACAAATAAGTGGAAGCAGCCCTGGCCAGGTAGCTAAGTGAAATAAGCCAGTCAGAGAAAGACAAATGCCATAAAATTTCTCTTGTATGTGGAATCTAATGAATAAAATAAACAAAATAGAAACAGACTCATAGAATAAAAAAAACAGACTGACAGCTGTTAGAGAGGCAGGGGGTTGGCAGATCCATAAAAAAGCTGAAGAGATTAAGCAAAACAACAACTACAAACACACACACACACACAAAAAAAAAAACCCCTCATAGATACTGATCTTTCCCCCATCTTTAACATCGTGCATAAATGTGGCAATCTGTTATTTGATGAGTCAATATTGGGACACTATTATTAACAAAAGTCCATATTTTATGTTAGGGATCACTCTTTGTGTTGTACATTCTATGGTGGTTGTTTTTTTTTTCATAATATTCTTTTTAAAAAAATATATTTTATTGATTTTTTACAGAGAAGAAGGGAGAGAGATAGAGAGCTAGAAACATTGATGAGAGAGAAACATCGACCAGCTGCCTCTTGCACACCCCCTACCGGGGATGTGCCCGCAACCAATGTACATCCCCTTGACTGGAATCGAACCTGGGACCTTTCAGTCCGCAGACTGATGCTCTATCACTGAGCCAAACTGGCTTCGGCCACTGAGCCAAACTGGCTTCGGCCATTCTGTGGGTTTTAACAAATGTGTAATGATGTATTGTAGGGAGCGGCTATAAGGTTAAGCCTTGGACTGACCTGTTGGCAAAGCCACAAACAAGTCCCAGCTTAGAGGGCACAGCCCTTTTAGCATAAATAAGCTTGACCTTTCGAGCCACATGCAGTTTGCTGCTCTGTTGACTAATCAGTTTGCCTACCACTGCCCTAGATCCATCCTGGTTAGCTAATGGGCTCTGGGAGGTGCAGCAAGTGCTGCCAAAACAAGTGAAACTCACAAGAACATTGTAACTATGTTGACAACTGCCTTGTTTACCTCTGGCTATAAAATAAAGCATCAGCACGCCTCTGGATCTGTTCTCTGAGGCCTCAGCCAGGCACAGGAGATCCATCTAGACCCAGCTTATTCTTTTTGTCTTTTCTACATCCTTTGCCGCCCTCCCTGAGGCTTGCCGAACTCTTGTCTATGCTGACACTGCACAATGTATACACACCATTACGGTATGCACAGAATAGTTTCACTCTCAAAATTCCTGTAATGTTCCATCTATTCCTCCCTCCCTTCCTTCCTCCTCCCCAAGCTTTTGGCAACCACTGATCTTTTTGCTGTCTCCACAGTTTTGCCTTCCCCAGAATATCACCTCGTTGGAATCCTATAGTATCATATATAGACTTTTCGGATGGGCTTCTTTCATTAGCAATATGCACTTAAGTTTCTTTCATGTTTTTTTGCTGCTTGATAGCTCATTTTCATTAATGAACTAGATGCCCCTTGCGGGAAGATTCCGGTAATAGGGCTTCCTGCTTCGGTCTCTGCTGCCCCGCCTGCTTCCCTGCCTTCTCCGCCGCCCCGCTTGCTTGCTTCTTCTTCGCAGCTTCACTCCCTTCTGCAGCGCTTGGCTTCTTTCTACGCTGTCTTCAGTCTTCACTCTGGCCTGGATATACAAATTAACTGCTATCTTGGTTGGGTTAATTTGCATACTCACCCTA